TACAGTGGCATGGCAGTTGTGACTCGTTCCTCTTCACTTCCAATTGGAATGATGTCCTACCTCCGGTCTTCATCCTCATCTGCAACAGAAACGACGATAACGATACTTGGCTTGGTGGTTTTCCGGCTCCAACAACGGTGGAGGTGAGTGGAGGTGTAGAAACGGGGTTTGTCGGCTTGAGGATGAGGGTAGTGAGGGTGGAGGTTGGGGCATCTGTGATTAGGGTAAGGTTTGGATGAGGGTGATGGATTAAATACACTAACCCCGTAAACTTCATTCCATAATGCCACCTTTGGTCCCTCCTTCTCCCTTTTCTCTTACTCTGCGTCTGAATGTAACCAAATAGACCCTCCTTTACAAATTACTTTCAACTTAAGTCCATATATATTACCATTCAGCCCCTATCTTCTGAAATCTTTACAATCCAGCTCCATATGTTACCCCTTTAGCCTATGCTCCCAATAATCTATTCAATACAAGTCCAATTGATATAAATTAGGCTGTAAATTCCCAAACTTATAGCATTTGGTTCCCAAGACAAACACTTATTAAATTATTATTTCTTCAGGGCTTCTATAAAATAATATATAAAATACATCTCTGGATTTTAGGGCTTATTATTTATATAATTTCAAACGGGATGTTATAGATAACAGTAACGATCCCGATCTGATAACCAACTCGGAAAGTCACATATACAACAAATAGGGACCAAGCCTCAATCTACAACTCAAAATACTCAATTTGACATAAAGTCAAACTTGTTAAAAGTCAACGGTCAACTTCCAGTCAGCCTAAACTAAGCTAGCAACTCTACGCCCAACATAGAGCTTAAAGTGGCAAAAATGGGTGAAATTAGGGTTTCGCCTACCGTAAGGAGATTTACGCCATGCGTAGACACTTTATGACCTAACTTAATTATTAAGATCTTAAAACATACCAATAACTCTTCCTATCTTCATATTTATATCATATAAATGTCTTAATGGATAAAGTCTCTAACTTTATCCATTTGGATGGCCACAAATATCACAGAATCAAAACCTATGTCCATAAAGTTGTCTATTGCTCATGAGCATGGGTGGATGAGAGTGACCAAGCTCTCATTTTTATTACTTAAACACCCTAAAAACGCCTAAAAATGGTACTTCAATGGTCTCGAGTAGCTCATACTCATATAAACCTTGTCCTAGGGGCAGAAGCATGATTTTTTAAGCTTAACTAGATCTAACACAAAACTATTGGATTAGGTGTCTAAGCCCGTAACAATAATTTATATATACTTACATTGATAGTAGCACGTACTTTTGGTTGCCCTCAAAATTAGCAATTGGCATGATGACTTTTAGAGAGAGAGGTTGAATTTATTATTTGATTAATAAATTGAAATAAATGATTGTGAGAACAATATAATAATTTGAAACAATAATATTTAATTAATATTTAATAAGAAATTAATTGGAGTTAATTTGGGGATTAAAAGAATTGATTAAATGTGCAGGGACCGAATTGTAATTGTTCAATAGTTGAGCTAAAGGCAATCTATAACCATAAAGGCGGGGACGATTTTCTTAAGCCTAAGGGTTTCTAAAATAATCCATGGTGGATAAACAGGAAAATGGATAATTAGCCGGTTTAAGATAATATTGGATTTGGGCTTATATAGAGTTTCCTGACTACACTATATGTAGGGTTTAAACCTTATGAATTTCGGCCAACCCTCTTTAGAAGAGATCTAGCCGAAATATTGAAGTATTATCCTCTTTCTCAGTCCTCTTCCTCTGCTGGTGTTGGGTGTGAACCATTAGAGGCATGATATTTGTGACACTTGCTCTCAAGGCTTGAACAACACATCGATTTGAATTATAATTACTATATAATGATCAAGGTATGATTATTCTAACCCTATTTGTGAATTTTGAAATATATAGTAGCATGCTAGGGTTTCTATTTTGTTGTTCAAATTGTGTGTTAAATTAGAGAAAACGTAGATAAAATTATTTATGGTTGCATGCACACATATGATTTATATGTTTTGCATAATACCCATCAGTGGTATTAGAGCATAGGTTTAGTTTTCTATTGAATTGATATAATGGTTGAACTTTAACAAGGAGAAGAAAATAGAATCATCATTTTGTTCATCAAACACACAATGGTGTTCTTCCAACACGGTGTGTTGACCGCATAAATCGACCCAACACGGCGTGGTGATCATCTTCCACGGTGTGTTGAGATGTCAGATCCAAAATTTTGTGCATAATATGCTTTTATATGATAATTACTTGCTATTCTTATCCTCCAAATCCGATATTGGTGTATCTATGATGATAAATTAAAAGCCTAGAAGTTAGGAGATAAGTATTTACTTAATTAATTGTTTTTTGATTAATATGGTTATTTTTAAGTTTATAAATAGATCTATATATTAATTGAGACAAATGATTAATGTGAAATAATATTTGGTATTTTGAAAAGTTTAAAAGTACATCCTTATGGATCTTATTATTAATTTAATTGAGTGATTAATTAAAAAATAATCAATAAATCCATAAAATGGTTTAAATTTAATCAAATTAAAAGTTTAATCTATTAAAAGATTAAATCCTTGGAATTTTAAAATGTTTTAAATAAACCTTATACTATGTATATAATTAAAAGGTTTAATATATATTATATGTATAAGAAAAACCAGTCGAACCGCTAGTATGACTCATTCATGAAGCCATATTATAATAGGAGTTTAAGAAAGTAGCCTATAAAATGACCAGCATTGGGTATCCACTCTTACACACCGATCCCTTGTACAGTGGAGGATCGTTAGCCGAACGGGTTCGATAGGACAATTAATTCTCATTAATAAGTATATAAAGTAACTAAAATATTCACTAAAATCCAACTCTTAGTTACTTTAGGAAAAATGTAAATTTGATGCTAATCCATTAAATTGCACATTACACTCTATAAGTCGTTAGTGGAGTGCGTGTGACTAACCGACACACTAATATGGAACTAATAAAGGATGGTAATGGGTGTCTTGAAAATTATCGTTGATTAATGGATCTCATGTGGTTAACCGACACATTAAAAGGAGATGATAAATGACATCGAGAGTACCAATTGAATTTGTATGATTATTCATATATTGTTTGTAATCATCTACATCCCAGTCACAGAAGTGAGAGCATAATCGAGATTAAACATGTCATTGAATATTTCAATGAATCTCAAATGATCTAAGAGTTTCATGAGATTGAGATTAGTAAATGCTTTACCTACCTAAAATATATTTTGATTTTATTACGACATCCATCTTCAAAGTTCGAATCGAAAATATGGATCCGATATAAGCAAATAATGGATTTCTTGGCTTGTAATGAGATTAGAAACATGGAATTAGTTTTGAAACAAAGTTACTTCCATAACATTGGTGTCAAAATCAACATTTACCATTATTGTGTCATGAAGCTTCAAAAAAACTATTTAAAGCATGTTTTAAGCATAGATTGGTAAAAAGGAAAGTATTATTGGGATTAATAAATTAAGACTCGAATCATCCATATGTACTTTGAATTAATATGATTTTGAATTTGGTTTTTTCACACCAAAAACCTTGATCATTTTTTACAAAGACATTGAGAAAGGCGATGCATCTCTTGAGTTGTTAACCACTTTTTAGCACACAACACATTATAATGCACCTTAAGTCTACTTTTATTTCCTTCAAACTCATGAAATTGTCGTTTTACGCTCTCACTCTCTAACTCATAATCGATCCATTTCAATGGGAGAAGATGGTTGGTTAACATAACACTCTGGTCATTTGACAATTCTAGTCAGTCTATTTTTTATTTCCAAGCGAGTCCGCCTTTTATGTTAGTCTTTAAATAAATTTTTATGACTATAACTAATGTCCTAAAATAAAATTACCCTTATAAATCAGTCCTTATACTAATTCAAGACTACATGATGAGTTTGGTTAATTTGTCATTACTAATCCTTACTCCAAAATTTAATGATTTCAAATCTAAATAATAATAATAATAATAATAGTTATTGCTCTTATCTATTTAATAATTATAATTAAATAACTAATTTTCTCTTATTCACTTATTTATTTAAAATAAAGTTTTTAAATTTGCTCAAAATAATATTTATTTTAGCCATGATTCATCAAATTAAAATAATCTATCATAATTTTTTATACACACACGCCCACTCTACTTTAACCCCGCCTCCAACCATTCCCCTATCCTACCTACACTCACGCCCACCCCAACCCCCGCCCCCCCATCACCTGCATACCCATATCTACCTCAATGATATATCCACCCACCTACCCTACCCACACCTACACCTCCCACCTAAACCTTCCTACCCTCCCACCCACTCTCATACCACAAACACTCATACATATTCATACCCACACCCACACTAATATAATAAAAAGGTACTTTGGTCATATTACATAAGTCATTAACCAACTCATTTGACAAATCTACAACCCAACTAAAAACATATTTCATTATATGTCAACAAAACACATAAATGACCCCAAGGACTTTATACTCCAACTCAGTTAACAAATTTCATTCATTTTGAAAATTATTATGCGAACCAAACGCCCCCTTAATGTTAAATTATATGTGGATATTACTATTCAATTATGTAACTGACAAAATTCCAGACTTTTAATATCAAAATATGATTTCATATATATTACGTATTTGCATATATCGAGTCATTTAATGCACATCTTTTATACTTATTTGAACCAATGGTTGGAGATTCAATCCACACCGTTCATATCTAACTGATGCGACCGCTAAATTTCATAATCCGTGTCTTTCCTAATCGACCAATCAAAGCAACTCACAATTTCCTATATAAACATATCAAACATAACCTCACTTCACACAGCTAAGCATTTTAATTTCTTTCTAATAAGACCTCTCTTTCATCAAATATTTATCTTGTTCTATATCTTTCTCTATCTAGAAATGGTTATAAGATCGATTAGAAAGGAGAAAGCATCGAGTGAAAAGAACATTAGAAATGAGAATAACCCCCCAAAGGATTTAATCGGAAAAGATCCGGAGAAAAAAAAGAGGCGGAATAAGAAACCTGTGGAGACGTACAAAACATACATCTTCAAGGTCTTGAAGGAAGTCCATGGTGACATTGGGATCTCCAATAAGGCGATGGAGATCATGAACTCGTTCGTTAATGATATGTTTCAAAAAATTGCACAAGAAGCTTCTAAATTAGCAAAATACAACAATAAGAGCACCTTATCGGCAAGGGAAATTGAGGCTGCTGTCAAACTTGTGCTACATGGAGCCTTGGCTAAGCATGCTGTGCAGGAAGGCACCAAGGCTGTAGCAAACTTTATAAGGTCTTAGATAGGCCTTTTGTGTTTGTTTTAATAAATTATAAAAGGAAGATAAATAAAGTTATGCTATAAAAAGTTGATGTACAACTTTATGTTACAATCCATTTGACATAATCTGGATAATTAGATTTTATATTCAATGTTAGGGAAGTTCCCTTTCCAAAAAAAAAATTATTGCTAAATTACATTAGAGAAACAAATATCATGGACGAGTATTGAAAAAAAATGTTATTTTTTTATTTTTATTTTTATTTTTTATTTTTTTTAAGTTGCACACGATTCTTAACTTATTGAAATAAAAAAAAAAAAAAAGCAAGTATTGTAATTTGAAGCTTGTCCCATAAGATTTTTAAAACTTTTAATCCATGACAAATGTGTGAAAACTAGTCTTAAAGTTTAAAGAAATCATTCTTTTAGTTAGTTATGTAAATACTATTTATATTTTATATAATTCAAAATCAAGACAATTGTTTTTAAAATCACCAACATCAAACCGCCACATTCGCTGTTGAAGTTGGTTTTAAGGAGTCGATGTGAAGGTCTTGATGAGGTTAGATATGCTTTTTTTTGAAACAGAAAAATAGATTTATAAATATAAACCAAAAAAGCCACCACACCACACCTGACAAGGAACCAGACGGGCGGGGAGCAACAAAGTACATGTCAAGTATGTAGATGGAAGACATTGTAAGAAATATATCTTGAAAAGGGAATTCATTAAGATTGCAGTTATGAACTGATTTAAAGTATGATTGGCTTAGATTGTTTTTTTTTTCGTTAAGACGACTTGATGGAATATCCTGAATCTCACGTTTATCTAACAAATAAACAGCTGAGTTGGACGGGCAATACGAGACGAGTTGGACGGAAAATACGAGGCTCGGATTGAGTAAATAGGATGTCCAGTTAGCAATTTAAATGATTTTATACTTCACTTTTCAACATTCACACCGGTAGTCTAAATTAAAATTTCAACTTTTTTACACCCATACAAGGGTCTATTTAAACAGTATCAAAATTTATGAATTTTGATATATATATCAAAATTCATAAATTTTGATACTGTTTAAATAGACCCTCGTATGGGTGTAAAAAAGTTGAAATTTTAATTTAGACTACCGATATGAATATTGAAAAGTGAAGTATAAAATCATTTAGATTGCTAACTGGACATCCTATATATATATATATATATATATATATATATATATATATATATATATATATATATATGACAAAACAAAGCAAATTTTTTAAAGAATTTTTTTTTAAATAAATATGGATGATTATGGAAAGATGATAAAATTATGAAATTCGCTATATTTATTTATTTTTCGATAAAAAAGTTGACATAAAAAAAATAAGTTTTTTTTCTTATAATCTGACTTGTGCATGTCCACCATAAGACCACAATGCGTACTTATACTTAAACTATGTTTGGTGTACGAGCTGAAAAAATAGCTGTTAAATAAAAATATATCTGATAGCTGAAAAGCTAACTGATAAAAAATGATGTTTGGTAAAACTAACTGAAATATATAAAATTACATAAAATGACATTTAAGAGTAGTTTTTGTAATTAATTAATGGGTAAATTTGGAAAATTAAAAAAAAAAACTCATAAAAAAGTTATTCTAAGTAATTTTTTCAAAACGCTAGCTTATAAGCTACTTTTTGACTTGCCAAACATGACAACATAAAAAAGTTCAAAAAATAAGCTAGCTGTGATGCACCAAACATAGTCTTACCCTTTCACACTTTTTTTATTTTTTTTTTATTTTTTATGTCACCTCAATTTTTTACCCATTTACTTTTCACTCACAAAAAAACATAAATGATCACCTTTCTACACACTAATTTTATTGAGAGAGAGGAAAAATGAACATACTCAATAATATATATAAGTTTTAGGTACTCAAACTTACGCTACTAGATTGGGTGTGAATTATATATACATTGTAATCGTCCAAAGTTCTTAACATTTAACTCGTAACTTGATTTGCTTCCAAAATTTTAACTTTTTTTACAATTATTTTCCTCTTACATAATTTTCATTTGCAACTATGATATGTGTAGCCTAGTAGGTGTTCGGCAGAAAAATATAGTGTAAGAGGAAGATAAATGGTAGAGGTAAACACGAGACGTTCTAGGTCAGTTTTTAGGTAACCGAACCCAAAACCAGTTTATTGATTTTCAAAAAAAATAGAATCCAACCCAATACCTAAACTAGTGGGTTCAGTTTGTTCGTTTTTCCATATTAGTTTCAGGTTTAAATCCAAACCCACTCCAAAACTAAATTTGAGAATTAGTAAGTTGGTATTGGCTTATATAAGAGATGAAGAAAGGGCAAATTTCACATGAAGGCCGATGCGGGACAAAGTTCATAAATTTCATAAATTAAAGAAGGAACTTACAAGGGATGTGGGATAAAATTGATGAACAAAATAAAAAATTTCATAATTGATGAACAAAATAAAAAATTTCATATGGAGACGATGAGATTCAAACCTTGGTGGTTTGCCTAATACATTCAACGCCTCAACTAGTGATATACTAAATATTTGTGTATGATTTTTCAAAACAACAATATATTATACCTATATAACAAGTATTTTTTATATACAATTATATGTTCGGTTCGATTTTTATTGGTTTTTATATATAGTAAAACAAAAAACGACCCATTATTTATGTTTTTAAAAAACTTGAAATCAAATCATCGGTTTCGTTTTTTTGGCTTCTGTTTTGTCGGTTTTTATTGGTTTTTGGGTTTTCGAGTTCAGTTTTGCTCGCCCATTGATAATGGTGAAATTTTTAAAATCATGAAAGTAAATTAAGTTATGAGTTAAATTTAAGAACGTTGGATAAATACAATGGATATATGATACAAAAGCTATGTAATATTATGGGTTTTAGTACCTAGTGGGTGTTTGGAATACTTTAAAAAAAACTTATTAGTTTTTTAGCTTTTTAAAAAGCTAATAAGCTAAAAAATATTTGTGTATTTAAAAATCGTTTTTTTAAAACAATTTTCTGGATAGGAAAAAATAAAGTTTTCAAAAAGTTGAAAAAACTTATCTTTTTAACAATTTACTCATGAAAAAGAACAGCTTTTCGCATCCAAATACTTTTTAAAATTAGTTTTTTCTTAAACACAATAAGCTAATAAGTACATTTTTCTTGAAAATCATTTTTAACATAAAAAATCTAACCCAAACATACCACAAATCTTATATACCTTATATGGTATATTCACTTTTCTTTCTTTCTCTCTTTCCCTCTCTCTCTCTCTCTCTCTCTCTCTCTCTCTCTTTCTCTTTCTCTTTCTCTCTCTCTCTCTATATATATATATATATATATATATATATATTTTTTTAAGACGTTCAAGTTTTTAAACATAAAGTACAACCAACTATTAATATAATAATATTATTATTATATATATATATATATATATATCTTACAAATGATAATGCTAAGGATACAATAATTAAAAACACATTTAAATTAATATTTCCTTATTTTTAGGGATTAAATTAGTATTTTCATCATTTTTTACCCAATTTGTACTCCTAAAATACTTATTCTCTGGTATCTGGTGCATTCGAAATCTGAAACACTTATTTTTGACAAATCGTTTGAAATTTAAAAACTCATTCAAATTGGAGTTCCCTAATTTTTTGCATAAAATATAGTTGACTGGAGACTAATTCAAATCTTCTTCTCCTTTTCCTCTATAGAATCCACCGCCATAATATTTTTTGGTTTTGACATTGCACTTTTTATTTTTGTGAAACCGATCGATAATGATGCAAATGTTCTTAGAAATATAACATGTATCCGAATGGAACTAATTGCTTGAAAAAAAACTATTCGCCGCTGCCGCTTTGCGCGGGCAAACGGCTAGCGTGTGTGTGTGTATATATATATATATATATATATATATATATATATATATATATATTGTTACACTCGGGTCCCGTTAAGTTTCTCTTTCTACCATTTAAATTATAATTTTACAACTTTGGCCCTTACGTTGGGTGTACCTGGATGATATGTTGGGCATAAGGGGCATTAAGCGAAACGGTGACGTTTTGAAGAATACGTTGGACGTATGCTAGGTACGTTAGGCATTTTGGATTGTATAAACCCTAACTAGGGGTGAAAGCGTCATCCGACAACAAAATTTCTTCCCCCTCCCTCCTATACTTGAGAACATATTTATCTTATCCATATTCTCTTTCCATCTCATTCACTCCTTTCCCTCCCCTTATTTCTCTTCCCACTCCTCATTTTTTAATCAAGAGAACAAGGTGTAATTGGTTGAAAGTTAAAAAATTAATATGATGTAAATATTTTTTTGATATATATCTTAAAACATATTCATTTGGATGACATTTTTAATAATATTTATAAAGATAAGCCTAATGAAAAAATATATAACATGCAATTTTTTTAAAAAAATATTATATTATAATGTTTGTATTCAAATAATGAATGTAAATTTATTCGTAAACCGACAAATATAAAAAAACTTGATGGAGTAGAAGACATGATCACCACATATATGTGGTTTAAAAGATTTGAATTTCATTCTAATTTAAGTTCTAGAAAGATTTTACCGCCAGAAATTGAAACCTCTTCAAAAATTTCGAGATCCGCTACATCCACCGTTCAATCGTGCTCTAAAAACCAACGGCCAGTAAACACGATCCGCGTCAGTCTGATCCAACCAATCAGATCAGTTTTACATAGCCTATATAAACACATCCCCAATACATCAACAAACACATCCAAGCTTTTCGTATTCCTCTTCTACAAACACATCCTCCCAATTTCCATTTTCACTTCAATTCTAACAGTAGCAATGGCACCAAAGGCAGCTGCCGGAAAGAAACCAGTGGCGGAAAAGACTCCAGCTGAGAAGAAGCCCAAGGCAGAGAAGAAACTCCCAAAAGACTCATCGGCTGCGGGAGCAGATAAGAAGAAGAAGAGACACAAGAAATCAGT